ATATATATATATATATATATATATACAGGGTGTCTCATAATTTTAATAAATGTTTCTTGGAGTGAAAAAGAATGAAATTTTGAACTAAAAGTTCCTTTCCCACTTTTGATTCAGACCATTATTTACCGAGTTATTAATAACAATTAAACTTGAATTCAATCAGATAGCGTCCAGCCGGATTACAGCAGGAGTGTAGCCACGGGATTCGCGCTTATTATGCAATTTCCCGATAGAAATTTTATTCAAAAATTGTTTATTTTCAACTCACAGAGAGCTCCAAAAATTTTTTCAGAAGTTTTTGTCAATTTTTTTAGTAATGTATTTTCTTATTGACAATTAATTTTACCAAAATGAAAAAATGCGATATGAAAAATTCTGAAAAAATTCTCAGAACTCTCTACAAGAAGAAAATAAACAATTTTTATTACTTGTTTTTCTGTAAAGTTGATAATATTGATTAAAAAATTTTTATTAAAAACTAATATTCGGCAATATTTAGTAATTAATATCTTATTAACTATTACGAAAATTGCAAAATGCTAGAGGACTCAGTATAATCCACTCTACTAACACACAAAATATTTGGCGGTCATTCTGGGACACCCTGTATATTACACACACAATATATGTGTAAGTGTACTTATTTATAGTATAGGTGTGTGTATGTGTGTGTGTGTGTGTGTGTGTGTGTGTAAATCATGCATTTTTATAATTGAATATATTATGAACAATAATATCTTATAATACTAGTAATAAAATATTTTTAAATATAACAATTGACGCAGATGAAAAACTTAACAATTTCAGATTTAAAGTATTGTACATACCTTCTGAATGAGCGTAGCGCGTTATGACAAAACAGTAATAAAATGAGAATGGAAGTAGGAATGGAAATAGGCACAAGTATTGACATATTTTAATTTCAAGCCAAAAGCAATTATCCTGAATAGTTCAGAATTAATGAAATCTTTTCTCACATATATCTTTCTCACATATATCTTTCTAAATCTACATATACTCGATTATATCATAAAAAGAAAAATGAATTTATAATTGTGAGTAATTTCAGTACGGACCAAAAGGAATACAATTCGCAACTCGGGTTGCAAGTCGAAGACAACTCTAATCCAAAACGAAAAAAATCAGTCGCAACAATGATTTTAGTTAATCAGCTTCGCTGGAAGATTGACATTTAAACCGTAATCGCATCACATGACATGAGGGAAAAAGAGGTAGAGAAAGAGAGCGAATGATTATATATAAATCACGCTTTAATAGATGTAAAGAAAAAACTATAATCAAAACAAATCAATAATCAGTTTTGATTAAGGACATTTAATTTCAAGAGAATGTCACGGCAAAAGAATCGACATGAATTAATGAAAATGTGAAAAACCCATTGTAGTTTCGATTAACCAACTTTACTTCATTTCTTTTTTTTTAGACAAACGAAGATCGATGCGATCGGAGCGAAAGGGACGATGCACAGCAGGAAGTTGGATGTACGGAAGTCAAACAGCTGTTTGACAGATGGAGGCCCTGCGCGTTGGCTCAGCTCGGCTCGGCTCGGCCTCGCTCGCTTGCTTGCTCGCTCGCTCGCTGGCTGGCTGGCTGACTGGCCCGACGACCTTGACCCATCAACCTCTTCGGAGAAGCAGAGAGAGAGACGCAAGGTGGGTGCGTGCGTGCGTGACAAACTCACTCACCGATGCGCCATATCCTAGTGGGCGCCGTCATTCTGTGCGCGGATGGCAGTGGCGGTGGCGGCTTCTCGATGATGACGACGACGACGACAACGATAACAACGACAACGACAACGATGATGATAATGATGACGAAAACGACAACGGTTGCACCGCGTTATGGATACGCGGTACGGAACGGAGCAGCACCAAGTGCTGCTGTGACAGGTGCGCGCGTATAATGCACGGCAACGATGACGAGAACGGCGCGGCGGAAATGTACGCCGCTATTTCCACGATGCTCGCGCGACAAAGTTGCAGAGTCACCGTAGGAGCAGCCACCGCCGTAGAAGCGGTCCTCCATTAACGATGCTTCACAGGCACGACCGCCCACACGTAGTCGCAGGAGAGCGAGAGCATGAGAGAAATAAAGAGAGACGGAGAAAGAGGGAGAGAGGGAAAGACAGAGAGTGAGAGAGAGATGAAGGAAGTGAAGAATGTCGCGCGGATGGAACGTCAAAATTCATAACATCGTTTTCCGCTGACTGATCCTGCTGATTTGTCCTCGAACGTCTTGGACGTGTCCACACGCGTGATATCGTTGCTCAGAGAATATAGAATACGCGATAGAGCGAGAATAGAGAGAGAGAGAGAGAGGGGGAGGGAGAAAGAGAGAGAGAGAGAGAGAGAGAGAGAGAGAGAGAGAGAGGGAGAGGGAGAGAGAAAGAGAGAGAAGAAAAACGGGACGACAATACAGGCGGAAAGATACGTGGCACGGGCGAGGATATGCAAGGCGAGGCGCTGTGCATCGTGTTCGTAACACGTACGGCCGATGAGAAAGATCCGAAGACAAAATGGGAAACGAAAGGGAACAGATTCGCATTGTATCAATAGAGCGTGACAAAGATGACAGGATTGTCAAAGACGCGCACGAGAGGCGAGAGAGAAATGGATAGGGAGATAGAGGGACAGCTACGCGCGTATATATCTGGTATCGTCTAGTGCATGAACTATGCGTGAATATCCGTGAGAGGAAAGAAGAGGAGAGAGGAGAGGAGAGGAGAAACCAGGCTCTGATGTAGGCGACGTTGAGCGAAGGAGTGAAATTGCCGCAATTTTGCAATGGCGACACTGACGATGTTGACGCGCGGCGTTGACGACGCCCGATCGAAAATACCTGATCCGTAGTGTGATCTCTTGGTCGCACCGTTCTCTGCATCGCAGTCGAGCGGCCGCTTTCTGGAGTCCGCAATCTCCGGGGAGGGACACGTCTCCATTCCTGAATCAGCGGCCATCTTGGTTCGCTCGTTGCACGCACGTAATCCCCCCCCCCCAGCTCAGACCCACACACGCACACACACTCACACCTGTACTCGCGCGCGCGCGAGTTTACACGCACGGCCACGGAGAGATTACGTTACGAAATAAACGGCGCACACCAGCCACCAACCACCAACGGTACACACAATCGAAGCGGAATGTGATGTACGGAATACACCGTGTAAACCATACACGGGACGCACACACTCACTCTTCTTGCCTCCTCTTAATTGGAGAAGGGGAATTCGGTAATTCGCTAGAAAGGCGAGGAAAGAGAAAGAGAAAAAAATAATACGAAGGATCGCGCGCGAACGAGACGAACGATTGGTAGTCGAGCGATGTGGAGCGATGCGCTGCGGCTGGAGCTAGTAGAGCAGACGATGTTCGCTTTATGGGGGCAAGAGTGTCCCAGAACGAGGTGCCAGGCGCGAGTAGATCAGATAGGCACAACGTTGCACACTTCCAGACGAACGAATCAACGAACGAACGAATGAATGAATATATGTTATGTATATGCAGTGACGACAACGGAACCAGGAAAAAGGAGGAAAAAGAGAGTAGTAAGCGGTAGGCAGGCACGCGCCATACACACACACACACACATACACACACACACACACACACACACACGCGCGCGCAAGTGGAGAAATCCACACTAGGAACACTAGGATACGTGAGCGCGCACGAACAAATAACATACACGCGCTCGCGAAATGCCGCGTCTCACTGCGTATCACTGCGTCTTACTGACGACTGGCCGACTGGCTTCTCTTGCCTTGCCAACCAGCTGGTTGATACTCGCGCTACCCTCGCATAGTACACGTACACTGATATACACCTCTTGCCTAGGTTCACTGCGTCTCCGTCTAACTTGCATTTGACTGCGTTTGACCTACGGCTATATACTCCGCCTCCGTTTCTCTTCCTTTCCCTTCCTTCCCTTCCGTGCGCGCGCAGTTTCTCTCTTTCTCTCTCTCTTTCTTCTTTCGTCGTCAGTCTTCAGCTGGCAGTCCTAGCGTGGAGCTCTGTTCAGCACAGTTCAGCAGTGGCGGAGTAAACTGGAGTAAACCAAATATATATATATATATATGTGTATAGTCGCAGAGAACTCTGTCCGTGTCCCTCTTTGCCAACCCGCGAAAAATTCGATCGATCGACTAATCGAACGGACGGACGGACGGATGCTTCCGGAACCTTTCGGAGTTCGACGGAACTGACGGAACTGCGGCGAGCATTGCAACGCGGCGAATGGTGCGCGCACTACAACTATATGTTACGTAAGCTGTTAGCTGTGCTGCTGCCGCCACGGGGAATATAACATAACGAACATAATAACCTGCTGATGTTGCGTCGTCCTGCGCACTGCGCAATGCGCATTCATCGCGGACTCCGGACTCGGAGCAACATTTCCCGCCTTCGACCGTTTTTAATTATTACGGGCGAGAGATTGGCGGAATTGTATTCAACATTTTCACCCTTCAACGCTCATACATATGCGCACTTGAGAATGGATTGAAACTTTTTTCTATCCGAATGCGTATTTTAAATAACGAATACTTTTTTTGGATTTAATTGGATTCAATTGGATTAAAAAACTGCATTTTGTATTCAAAATTTTGAATTGAACAGTTTTCACAATTGCACAGAAAAAGCTAATATTATTTTTAGATTGAAAGGCACAGAGATATGCTCCATGCAATTCCTATAAATGAATAAAAATGTATTCAAGATTGAAAAGCATTCATTTTAACATTCGTGAATCAATATTTCTGAAAATCTGAATTCATTTTAATCCATTCTCGTTTGCTGGGAATGAGATCGTGAAAAGATCCTAAGCAAAAACGCGATATTTATATATATATATATATATATATTATTAAGTCTATTTTTATTTCAAGACCGTCTTAAGATGCTAATACGTCTCTGTGATCGGTATTCGTATTGTATATAGTTGATTCTTATATATTTAAGACTTAAAACTTTTATTTAAGACCTACGTTCTAAATTTGTAAGTCAAATTTCACTTGGATTGAATTGAAATTTCATTATTCCTGCAATGAACTTTACTGCAAAGTAGGAATGGAGAAAATTCACTAAAAATCATTGGAGTGAATTTTATCACTGTAAAGAATTGAAAAATTTATTCCAATTATTGAATGAAACTTCTCAATAGACCGAATAATGTCACTTCAAGGGAAGAGTGAATGATTTTATTCTATTTATGAAAGATCAATTTATTTTTTCTATAAAAAAGAGCGATACATAGGCATATATTAAATTTGTATAAAGCATATAATTTTTTGCAAAATTTATAAATGAATTTAATCAAATACTTGTTGTTACCGTGTGAATCTTTTTAAATATCAAATTCAAATACACAATTATACAACTATATATATTACTTTTTTCAGAAAAAAAAAAGAATCTTTAAGCAAAGTGAAATCGCGCGCGCGCGTGTTTGTGTGTGTAAAAATGTATTTATTTATTTATTTGAGAAAGTTTAATTATAACGAAAATCTCGCTAATGAAAACATGTGTTGACAGGGTTGGCAACATTATCTTATAAAAATAACTCATTACCATTCTTTTTCCTAAAAAGTAATTCATTATCGTTACTCATTGATTTGCAAAAGTAACTCGTTACCGACAGTCGAATGATTAGAAGAATACTCGACTATGATTGGTCAATTTCTTACTGTTACTTTTTACTCCGTGTATTGGACAATTGTATCACTGTGTGTCTATTCGTAGAGACAACTTGAAGGTTTCTACCGTACCGTAGAATTCTCCCTTCTATAGCGATCGGAAGGATTCAGGTTTCAGTTGAAGAGTGATAATGCTCACCGTAGTGAACTCCTCACTCACCTACGAAATTCTCATGTATCTGAACTCGTTTTACTTCGGCATGTTCGCCGTATGTGAGCTGGGCATGGGGCTATTCAAGGCTGCGAATTTGCCATCACCGGGCACAAGCAAGACTCTGATAGAGTTCGCGCTTCTGTTTTTCTTGATAGTGACGGAGAGCGGCAGGATTTATCTGGGAAGAAAGGGAAATCTAACTGAGCGTGGACTGCCAATTCTCATCGGGATCGTCCTAACCATTCCCAGCTCGCTAGCGACGCTCTACTTCCTGCTTTGGCAGTACTACGTACTCAGGTTGGAGGTGATTCTCTGCAGTATACAGCTGGTTCTGCTAGCGTCCGAGGTGGTCATTGCGATCATGTGCCTTATAGCCATCCACCGACCACCAGCTCCAGTGAAATGACTAAATGTTATCCTTTCTGATATTCTAGTCGCACAATGATTATATTTACACTGTCACGCTTAATAATCCATTCAGAGTATTTAATCCATTCAGAGTATTGTCAATTCATCAAGGTTGAAATCAAAGTTTTTGACAACATTGTTTTTGATACACAATAAGACTTTTCTTGCTGTGTACGATTATATCTATTATATCTCTACGTGTAAAAAACAATCCTGCACAGGAAAGAGAATCAGATTATTTTCTCTAAACCCTGATATAAATCCATTCTGTACAATAGCTTTACCACAAATTTTAAGTAAAAAATAAAGACTAGTCAAAAAGATTTTTGTGCTACTTGTACAACTTGTGTAATTAAAATTATAAATACTGCCAAACAAGTATTCTCATTTAAGTAATTATCTGTAAATTTATTATTATTTACCGAAAAGATATTGAAGAATATTGTACTGTTGCTAAAAGCGAGCGATTTATAGAAACTAGATAGTAGAATTATTTTCATCAAATTAACTCAATTGGGTAGAACGTTTTGTTTTGTTACATATTTAAATAACAGTGCTGAAATGAATAGAATGACTATTTCTTTGTAGCTGCTGCTTTAGTTTAGCTGCATTATTTTCAATCAGAAGAAAAAAAGATGAAGATGAACAGTATAAATTGTGAATAGCCTTCAAGGAAGAAACATGTGAAACCCGAACTCTGAGATCACTGTTTCATTGATGTGACACATTTTTATATACTAGTATCAACGTCATACGCACACATATACATAAATTTTTGTAGAATGAATAGTAACATAGCGTTTTAGTTAGACATCCAAGTCTAATTTCAAGAACTCGACATTCTTTCTTTGTGTAATCTATTAATCTGTAGCCTCCAATTTTATAAATACAGATTTGTACAGAAGCAAAGCTTTCATAGCAAATGCTGTCAATTCGATAGCTCTAGATAACATTTTGAATTAAAAAAAAAAATGATAAAAAAGATTACAAATTCAAAAATCTTTATCGTTTTCAACATAATTTCCAAAATAAAAATAGCCAATGGAAACATAAATGTTCTATCTTCCTTTGATGAATATGTAGCTTAAGTTCTACAGAAAAGAATTATATGTACTTATTTCTATATTGGATATAATTATCTATGGTAAGAAACTTGCATGTATTTGTTGTGTATATGCATTTATATCAAAATAAATATTTTTCAAATAAATAATATAATACGTATATGCCTTTATACATATGGCATAACACAAATTTTCTTTTCATAAAGATAATGCTGTTTTTGTCAGATCACATGTATCTTCAAGTACATATTTTTCCAAATATATTACACACGCGACGTACATTGGCTACAAAACTTATAAATACAAATATTTCTTAAAGTTCATGATTGAAATTTCTATCACAAACTAGAGATACATTCAGATATACATTCGCGATATATAGTATATGCTGTATATGGAAAGAGAGATTATGACGCGATGTTAATTATAAATAAAGAATTAAAATTTAGCATCCATAATTACAGTCAATATCTAATTACTAGAATTCTACTCTAATCCATAGTAATTATAATATACAGTTAATAGAATTCTACTTCTATGATAATTAAGATTGTAATTCTGTCTAACTAATACAATTTTTAATGTTTTATACTGTTCGCTGCGGCTCTGCGTCTTCTGATTATACGTAATCGATTGTTGCAATAAATTCGTAAAAATACTGAGCCGAATACCAACAATATTCCAAACACTCCAATAACAGTAATCTCGTGATGATAAATCAAACATGACAATAATATCGCCAAGCCCTGTAACAGATATTATTAAATGGGATTATATAGTCTGGATTTAAGGGCAAGAACACAATAAACACAATGCCGGCCGACTTTGTCATTTATGGAAAGTAATTTCGGCAACGTATGTAATTATGCATAGATATGGAATAACTTTGTTTTACACAACAGTGTAACTGTTGTTACTGTGGCCGACACTTTGTCTATCGCGTGCTCTTGTCTCTTTTTTTGACAAATTGATATTATCTGAAATAATTATATACTTGACGAATGGTCATCATAATGACAAATGTAATGGATCCAAATTTCGAAATGGTGTAAAAAATGTACAATTGGCCGCTTGCAGAACAAATGGAAATCAGCAAACAGTCGATTATAAACCTGGGATACTGTACAATAAAATTTGTTAATGTTATTTTCATGTAAACAATATTATAAGGAACTAACATGCATATTGTAAAATTAATTACCGTCGTCATAAAAGAAAAAATTAGCGGAAAACTTGATTGTTGAAACAGAGACATCGCAGTTAGCAAACAGGAAAACATATTGACTGCACACATCATTTGTACGCTAGTTACTCCATAATCTATAAACAGTGCATTTTGCCAGGTACTTGTGAAACTATCTAATAATAAGTAACCTCCCAATAAAATAACACCGGAGAGTGTTGTCGCTCCATCTGAAAGTACTTATAAAATTAATACAATGTTGGTTGTAATTAAAATACATTGCATATTTAACAAAGTATTACTGTTTTTATTATGATCAGAACTGTCCAGCATAAAGAGCGTCATTCCGATAGAAATAAGAATTGCAGTAACATATTCATAATATTCGTATGACGTATGCGAAACTATTTTTCCCATAACCATAACCGGAATAATTTTAGAGGCTTTAGCTAAAACCTAAACGAATAATTAAACGGATATGAAACATTTATATAAATAGCTTTTGATATGCAGTAAAAGTTACGTTAGTGAGTAAAGAAATCAGCAAATTAGAAGATATACAATTGCAATTTTTCACCTGTGATGGAAAACTGACGTATTTCAGAGCTTCATATTGACACCAACTGCTCATGATATTTGATAGAGAACAAAATGCATACTTGTACAATGGCGTCTTATGTTGTGGCTGACGTTGAATAAGTAAGTATAATCCAGACATCAGAAAAGCAAGAATGCGATTTACAAATACCAGGAATTGTGAATCTTGAAATCGTGCTTTACTGCCAGAAACATCTTCGTATTCCTGTACAAATGAATACAGTGTTATTTTAATTTAATTACATTTCTACAATAACAAAATGAATCCATTATTGTAAAAATGTAATGACGTTACAAGTATGTATTTTACTTCCTGGTTAGCTACACTACAACTAATTATCAATCATAATAACATATGTACATTTTTTTTATAAATATTTTTTTATTGTCGATAGAAGTTGACCACTACCTGCGTCATTATCTTTTCCTGCAGATAGCCCCAAGTCAAATAACTAATTTGTAATCCAAGGAAACAATATATCAATAGTAGAGCATCTTGAGTAAAAGTACGCTGAATGTGAGTGGAAGCATTAGGAACATAAGTTGGCGAATCCAAGAAACCTGTCTCACAGTGTCCCACAAAGCACGAATGCACCAGTCTAGGAATACAACCTTTTCCTGCATAAATATTCTTCTCAACTACTATAATATACCTTGAGACATTATATTCCAGAGTTGGCAAAATTTACTTTATAAAACTTAT